TTGCTAATACTTTGATACTGGTTTTATAATCCGAATGATATCTAAAAATATTAAGTTCTTACTGATGACTGTTGCTTCAAAATATGCAAACATTTTAGTACAACGAATTGGGCTTATACTTTCTAAATTAAGAATGAAAGCATTATTAGCAAAAATATTTGATCCGGTTTTATTTTTGCTGCAGCTCTAGTACACGCTATATTGTAATAATGCAATGAGATTGAAAAAAAATAACCATATGTTTCCAAAATTTGCGTATGTTTGCTTCATTAAAATCACCAATAAGTGCTTGGTTAGAAATGCTTGATAAAATACTTCGAAGCACGTTTTCGAATCCAAATGCTATCAAAAAAATTCAAAATCCTTAGTAAAAAAGCTCTAATACTACATCTATGCACTTTAAGATATTTCGATCATTATCAATAAAATGTGTTAAAAAAGTAAAAATTACGCTTATAACGAACTAGAAACTATAATAAAAAATTAGTATTTTCAATACTTATTAACCAATAGTTATAAATTTTGAAACAAGGCAAACATATGTCGTTTAGGGACGACATCCGTACACACAGTACGTCATGGGGATGTCGTCCAGAGACGACGAAGCGAGAGAGTTAAGTACGACGACGTGAATTCATTATTTCTAAATCACGCGTATACTAGTTTTCTTATACTAGAGAGGTATAAGTCGTTATATTACATATAAATGTACTGATGTAAAATATCTAATGAAGAAGTATAATACCCAAGGGTAGATGACTTACATACCAATCCACTTTTATGTAGTATACATTTTGTATATTGAAATATATCTTTTTAACTTAAACTTTTAATAAATAGTTCATAAACTATAGTTTTTTTTACTTTCCCTGACTATAATACACGCTGTTATATTCTAAAAATGCAATGTAATAGTTATAGTAAACAAATTCAAAACTGTATAATATTTCTAATTAATGTGTAGCCAGTATTTTCAAAAAGTAGTCGATATACAAATAAATAAAATTGTAACTAAAAATGCAATACTATTATTTCGCGTTATAATCCCAAAATAAAATCGTCTACAATTATGAAGTTTGTCAACTTCAGCGGATGTGTTTTAAAAGTGCTTCGCGCGCAACTGGATTTGAAAAAGCCCATATCATAATCATTTATCTCGATAAATAGACATATAAAAAGCAACAGCCTGTTATGATTTTTCCTGAATATTTCATATGCTAAGTATTTGGAATCGTAACAGTGAGCTCGTGAATTTGTAATTCGGCGTAACCTTCCGATCACACCAAGCCGCTCATTAAGTATTTACCAGACGCACGTAGGCATCGTAACCTCAGTCACAACTCATCAAATATGAATCGCCTTCATTTGTAGTAAACTTCTATTGTATATTTACGATTGACTTTACACCAACATCGACCGTAAGGGCAGATATAATAAAAGACATAAACTCGGCTGTCGATTTAACACGTGTTGGGTGTGAACTGATACCGACATAAATAAATAGATGCTCTCAAACTTTTCCCGATACTTTCAAACGTACTTACGTCAATTAGAGTTTTATATACTTTTCCATTGCATAAGTTTTTATTGCGGATATAAAAGAAATTTATCGACATGTTTGTTAAAAGTGATTTTTAAATTATATAGCTGGTCACGACACATTTTTAATTGTTTGTAATTGTAGAGCATGCGCTCTATTTTTTTGCAATGTGTAATACATATTTAAGGTAATGCATATATTTCGATTTTCTGTGATAATTGTAATAGCAAAATGCAACAACTATTTTCACGTGGCAAAACGCTTATATTCAGAATGTTTATATTTAACCCTTTCGCTACAAGTGCCGCTTATGGACGACATTCACTAGACGGCTAAGTATTGTCTATAAACGACACCCAGTGTGTCAAATTTAGCTTGAAAAATTTATCACTTTGAGTTAAGTTATAGAGATTTCTAATTTGTTATTGTGATTTTCAGTGTAGAATTTTTGTACTAATCGCAAAAAATCGTAGTATTTAAAGTATTTAAAAATTTTTAATTACGGCGCGGGAAGTTCTAGCAATTTGCATTAGGCACAATGTCATGCTCCACTAGTTAAACACAGTTTTATTGATAATGATTGGAAAATTTCAAAATACTTGTTGTAATAAGTACTAGGGCGTCGTGCTGGCTCGTACAGCAGTGTCATTACTGCGCAAAACACAACCGTAGCGAAAGGGTAAATATATAGTATAATATGTATATATTCTGATAAAAAGCCGTATTTTTATGTATTTGACATTAAGATTTATTAACTGAATATTAAAAGACTTATTCAATGGACTATCGTTATAAAAATTATCAAAATTTGAAATTTATTCTTTCAATTATCCTATTTGTTTGATTCTGGAGTAAACTTATTAATTCTGCATTAAATTCAAATTGATTTATTAAATAAATTTAGCATAAATATAGCACTTGTAATTGTAGAATATCTTAATTATCTTATTTTCGTTGAAAAATTATTTAGATTACTATTGCAAAAATGTTATAATTACTGAAAATTAAATACTTGACTTCAAAAGAATATATGTTTATTATCACTTCTAGTTTATTTACGACATCTAAATTTTTACCTAAACTTTGGAAACTGCTGACTTCTATTTTTCTTTGAATTTATTGTAAAAACTGCAAAAGCAATATTTCATATTGATTTATTACTGCATTTGAAATTAATTAAATGGCTTGGATATTTCTAATGTATTTTTGCGATGCTATTTTCATCTCTACGCCTTTTGAAGAGTTTTTGCAAGAGAATTTTATTATAGAATGACTTATGTATACAGAGAGTGGATTGTTCTTTGTGTTTTCATTTCCTGGAAATGGGAAGTGTTTTTCTCGAAGAGATCAACTGCAGCGTTTGCGCGTTCGCCCTCTTGATAAAATTCAGTGCAATCCCGGGTAAAATATGGCAAATAATTCTTTAGAAAAATATAGAATAACCGACATAGAAACTCCTGGTGAACCTATTCTCAGTTCATCACAAGGTATCAGTTTCCTACGCGAAAGATTTCCAGGAGAGGAATCTAAATATTTTTAACAAGAAATTTTTGTTGTCGGATATTTTTTTAAGGAACGAGATTGTCACCCTCTATACGGATTGAATTTTTTGGAAAACGTTATCGTAAAAGATCGGTGAGAAAGTTTTACTACTGTAGGATTCTAAACAACACTTTTAGAGTAGAGTATATTGTTGCAAATTTATTAAAAACAAAATTTTAATTTGCAGCTTTAACTACAATAATAATTGTGTAATATTTATACTTATTAAGTGATAATTATTATTAATAATTGGTATAAAAAATTATTTTTTGGAATATTTTTTTTACCAAGTACGTTATTTATAAAGGTAACAAAAACCATTCGACATTTAAAAAAAAGTCAAGTACATCTAAAATTTGAATAGAATTAATGAATCAGAGAATTTATTCAAAATATTTGCGAAAGAGTAACAAATGATATTCTAATTATAGGCGAAAAATATATGTTTTCATTTTTTTTATAGCGATCTCTATAATTAGTACATTTATGAAATTTAGCTACAAATGCAGTAAATTTAAAAAGATGGCTTGTGAAGGATGTACGCAAAATATGATTTAATTTTTAAATTACAATGCTAATTATTCATTAGTCAATAAGTTTTTTTTTAAAAAAAAAAAACAATTTAATTAATATCTATCTCACAATTATGACAAAACAAGTCTCGTGTGATAAGTACCTAGTAAGATTGATAGTTCTATTGGTTTCACCATATATATACGAGTATATATATATATACTTGATTTTTTCATCATAGAAAAATGTTTAATTATTGAATCAGATTAAAATCACTTTATAATAATTGTTCAAATCATCATATATTGTATTTTTATCAGATTTATCTTTTATTTTTATTTCGTTTTATTTTTTTCTATTAATTTAATTTTTATCATTTGTGTTAAAGTATAATATTATTATATTTTAATGATTTTTAATTTTGATTATAACTAAATGATTGTAAGTACAGAACTGTTATCACAGATGTCGGTAAAATTATGTGCCAATTAGTAAGTGTAGTTTATTTACAATGTCTGCAAAAGCTTGCACTAGGTTTCTGCTAAGCTAAATATGCAATGGCGTAAATATTCAAAATTTGAACCGGCATGGTACTAAAAATTTAATAAATAAACCAGCTTATGAAATAAAAACAAATTAATCTCAAAACCGTAAGAATTTAATTTTAACACGATGGAGATATTAAATACAATGAATAATTATGAGCGGTAGAAAATATAATATAAATACGCCGCTGCATATACAAGTGCAAAACTATGTCTAAGACTAAGTTTATAATGGCAACACCCTGCACAAAGAATCGATAGAATTATTAATTTTCATTGAAAATAAACTGAGTTTTGAATCAAAAAAATTTTATGGCAAATACATAGCTACATAAAAAATATAAGTTGAGTGCAAAGTAGTATAATTCAAGATACTATTATATAATCATACACTGCTGATTATTTAAACTTATGGTTAAAACAAACCGTGTTTTATATGCATGGAGTTAAACACTTTTTCACAATTTTGAAGAATTTTCAGTAACGATTTTTGAGAAAACAAAATAAATATATTATTATACCAAATGATATGTTGGAATTTAGCATGTTATTCAAAATTCAAATTTAATTAATCTATATACATATTGCTTTTTAGAATAAAATTCGATATTCGTATCGGTTCTTCGTTCAGGGTATTTCCACCATAATCTCGCACTCAGACGATCAGATCACATTAAAGCAACGTCTCAAGTCATGTTTAATCTATAATAATCACATATCGGGCGGAGAGGTGTGCGTAACATATCTAATCGCGCATAATGTAATCGCGTTAAGTTTCGTTTCGTTCGTTAAGGTTTGGATTTTGTTTGTTTGTTTAATTATTTAAGGTGCAACTTTTGTTCTGCAATCATATGTGGTACCTGGTTGCCGTCGTATGTCCAGCTACCGAACTTCATTTCGCAATGTTGGTCATCAAAGGGGAACCAGGTGATGTCTATCTTACATGTGCTCTTGAAAATGCCAGGCGGGACGTACAAGCAACTGCCGTTATGTTTGACCACGACGTTCGTGTGGTATGTGCCGTCGAAGCCCTCGTCCGCACTACGGTGGTCAAGCGGACAATGTTGTCGAATTCATTGTGTTTTTACTCAAACTTATTTACACTTAACGCGAGATCACATTCGATAAAGGATCAAACTTGGTTCTGAAATTGAATTCTGTCATGGACGAAGTGCGCCGTACCAGCAGAACGGAATGTACAACAAAATTGTGCGAGAAATCAACGCTCTATGGAACTCACATAAATTTGCTGAATGCTCGGATTGCACGGCACACGCTTCTGAGAATATCAATTTGTCGGGCAATGTTGACACTCATTTAATATGATCTCGCCGTTATATAATAAATACAAGAGCCAATTACTTAATTATGTTAGTCTTAATATCTTTGGGTATTTCACACCTAATGAACTGTGTTCGTTGAAACATGATGTTATGGTGTTTCACCAAAAATGTATGTAAGCGCCACAGTTATTCACATTTTATGTCGCTGAAGGAATTATTTTAAACCAAATCATATTTCTTGAATAGCATTCTCTATTCTTTACTATTATTGCAAATATCATATATTGGATTTAGTTGTATGTTGTATATGTTGTCACCATGTGAATGGAAATGTGTGAACGTTAAGTAAGTAAGCAAATTACTGCTTAAGTACTATTTCCGTAGACAAATCCGAATCTTCACGTAGGATTTATGAATCCTTGTTGCGATTATAACTTGCAAGATTAACCCGTTTACTAGACTAGAATTTACACGTGCAATTTAAACATTACACGTGAAACGTCTTCAATTCTGGGATTTTCAAGTTGAAAAAGCTCTACATAATTTTGTTAGTAATATTTTAGTTATCGAGTTCAATATTTGATAACATATTTTTTAAAAGTAAAATAAACGTAACATAAGAGTCATCTGCAACATCATTTATACTATGTTATTACACAGCATAAACATTTTATTAAGTTTATTGGATATTGAAAAAAATATATATTTGAAATAAACAATAATTATGTCTATTTCTTATAATTTTTTTTGTGCATTTAGAACTCCATGAAAAGCATTTGTGCATAGTTTTATATGAACCTGTATATTTTTAGTATTCGTGATGGATATATATTGTATTTACTTTATGAAACAATAAGTCGATATATATATATATATATATATATATATATATATATATATACACATTAGGGTGGTTCTTAATATAGACATGTTCGAATTTTTTTGCTCCCAAAGAGCAAATGGTTCCAAATTGATAAAAAACCATTCTCTGAAAGTTTTAGCTTTTAATATCAACTTTTCAACAATCAAACTTCGTATGAAAATAGCATGGAAAAAAATTTGAAAATTAAAAAAAAAAAATATGTATAACTTAGCGACAAATTTTGAATAAAACTCATTCATTTCTTCGCTAAATCATATCTAAAAATATTTTTTAAATTTTTGAAAAATTGTTCATGCCATTTTCATACAAAACTTTAATTGAATTGCGCACTATCTAATAGTTCATATTAAGAGCTAAAACTTTCAGAGAATTGTTTTTTATCAATTTGGAACCATTTGAGCCCTTGGGAGCAAGGAAATTCGAACATGTTCATATTAAGGACCACCCTAATATACATATATACCAGTATTAGTAACTAGTAAGATTGTAATTTCCCCCTCCTTTGTTATGAGAAAATTAAAAACAATAATTATTTTGGTACGTGAACAACAATCAAAGAATTAATTCTCTGTCCAAATATTATGTGAGATGTCAAATAAGAATCAAATAATGTTATAAATAAATTAATATTTTTTGTATATATTTTAACGCTGTTATTTAATTATCGTAACATTATAAATTATATAAACTACTATTAAATTATATTCAGCAACCATAAAAGTTATATAATTATTAATTATAATTACTGAAAATATATCGTTTGGCGCAATATTGACTCATATTTTTTCCATCTTGCGCATTCTTTTTTATAAAATCTCGAACATTTTTTACTAAACGACTTTAGCAAGCTTTCATTATATTATATAATGATGATGTGGGTTCAACATCCTTCTAATTACATCAGATATCAAAATCTCTTGGGTAAGATAAAATCAATTAATCAAGATTTAAGGTTTAGGTTATTGACGAGTCAGTTATAAATTGTTTGTGAGAAACAAATTGGTTTCGGGATTTTACCTACCGTTGATTTATGAATTGTTCAAAGAACTGAGGTATTATTGTACTGCTTTATTGTGGACGTATAACTTTTATATAAGACGCGATTTATGGTTCTCCTGTCAATTGTTTTTCTGTTTCGACTAAAAATATTCTATCAGTATATATTGCATATATGGGTAGACATAATACCGTCTACGGTGCTGGATTTAAATATAATCATATTGTTACATAGATAGAACTATGCACAAGAAAAACTTAATTTACCAATAATGAAGTTAACAGTACCGATACTAGGGATTTAACTTGTGAAAAGAATTTAATTAATATTGTTAATATTAATTATATTTAAAATTAAGAAATATGCTTTTTTATGTTATAATACTGTCAATTTGACTGTATATTTTTTGAAAAGCTACACTGAAGTCTCGAATGATTTATAAATTTTTTGCTGGTTTATTATTTGGTTTTTATTATTTATTTTTTTAATATTTAAATATTTAATATATAAACATTCTTACACGTAAAATGTAATTTTTTAATAATTTACAAAAGCAATATGCCAAAAAGTTTTAGAATTGCAAAATCACTCATTTCAATAATCACGTTCTGTTGTTAATCAAAAGTTGTCGACGATACCCAATTGTGGAAACATATTTGAAATTCCGTAATTTTAAACACACCTATTATTTAAAGCATATAATTAATTATTATGGCCATAATTTAATTAAATCAAACGCATATGTGATCAATTAATGTATTCCCAAATAACGTTGTACTTTTTACGGATGAAAAATTTTTAATGTCATAAACATGTTTGTGCCCCCGAGTAGAGACTGTTAATAATAGATTGGTATTAATTTCACACTCTGCTTGATCAAAATGTTATAAAATTAATTGCGAAACTTGCAATGATAAATTTTAGGATACAATAATTGTAAAAAAGCCTTGTTATACAAATGAATATGAAATGAATCAGTTTTTACACATTTATTATTTTGCAATATTTTTGTGAACTGGAGCTGCATAGTTGCTAACAACTCGCTTAGCTTTAAACTTTATATTAGTTTATTCCATATGCTTTTTATGAATAGCGCTGAACTGATGTAGGTTTAAGCTTTTACTTTTTATAGAATATGCTGTTTGAATTTACAATTTTCGAATTTTAAGATATTTTTAGGCTTTTAATTTCATGACTTTGCATTATCTTTGCTTATTTCATATGCTTTTTGTCAATAGTACTGAATAGTCAAATTTTACTGAGGTCATCGAACGAATCATTGAAAATCTATAGCATTCTCATTGAAGAGAATGCATTTGATTAGACTGGTATTTGATTAGTATTACATTCCGATGATCTAATAGAAAATCGTCTTATATATGAGCATCATATTGTCAAGAATTGTACCCAATAATTAAATTTAGATATTATATTGAAAATTAATATGATAATATGATATAATGCTGAACTTTATTTTTATAAGCTTGAAATTACTATAAGAGTACTTCTTTAGATATGATTAAAAATAGTGTTTAATTTTGTTGGGTTGTTTTCTTTCTTAATATTAGAATTATTAGTTGGTGCAATGAAACGTATATCTATCAATTGAATCAGTCATAAATTCAGAAAGCTTCAAATATAAACAAGTTTAAAATAAAAAATAAAATTTATATTTTTTTAGAGTGAAACAACAAATAACCAAATTTTAATATTTGGAAAATTCAAATTTAAAATTATTGTTAAATAAATATATATTCCAGATACATCTAACGATTAAAAAGTGAATAAATGTTAATTTATTGGGGCAAAATAAATTTTAATATAGGGTGGGGCGGAGCACAAAGGTCCAATTTGATATTGAGCATTTATATTGTAAAAACCAAACCAATTATATCACTACAAATAACACATATCAAACAAACAACTATGTAAAACTTTTTATGCAGTTAGTCAAAAACTTTTTACCTTGTATTGAACCATACGTGGTTCAATGTTTTATTTTTAATTTTAAAGGGATTTTTCGAAATAATAGCTACATTATTCAACCGATGCGAAATATAAACACTATAAATAAATTTGATCTGGTACTTCGTCAAAGCTGGAAAAACTATTTTTTAATTTATCTCTTAAAATCGCTTTTTCTTTTAAAATGTACTCTTTTGTTTGCTAGTTTTTAATTTTTACACCTTTGCCAGGGTAAAGGTTTAGTTGTTTTTTTTTACCCTACCCATGTATAAGTTTTTATAGAGGTTATATAAAAAAACTGTTGAATTTAACTTAACATTAACAATACATGATATGAAACAATTAAATAACGTATACTCAAAAATTATATTAACGTCTCGTGAACTAAGCAGCAGTGCGCACAACTAAATCAAATAACAACGAAAGAAATTAATTTTGTTATGAAGTTTCAAATATTTCCGTTTGCGATAGCAACATCGTAAGAATTAAGGCGACTGTTAGTAATACATCTTTTACCTTCTACGTTTAAAGAGTATTGTTAAAAAATTTTTAATTTTACTGGTTTTTGAGATACCAGTAGTGCACCCTTTCACCTGCGTAATAATTAATACCCTCTCACTTTTGTTAAGCCAACACAACCCCGCGTAATAATTTTCTCACAACTTATGATCGAGGCGGCTCCACCGTTTTCTACTTTCCATAGAATTATATGTTTGATTAATATCAACGCAATGCAGAGTCATATCACAACATTCCATATATCTCTAAAGCAAATATTTTGCAATTTTCCACGTGAGTTTATCTTTTTTTTCCTGGTTTTTCGTCCGCGTCTCTCGTACGACCTATGCAATAAGAATTGTTGTCCCAGAGAGACTTGTTAAAATGCCGAATGCCGCGTCTGAAGCGCTCTACG